GGTCACGCCGCAATCCCTTCTCCTCCATTCTCCTCTCGGGATCTTGGGCACGCATGCACATGCGCCCGGTGTGAGTTTTAAGCCACCGGGTCCGGGACACGAACAGCGGTCGACTATGTGGGAGTCCAGCGACATAGCCATTACGCTAACTGCTGGTTCCCCATCCTTTTGGTATCTTGATCACATAGTCACATGTGTCTGACATGTTTTCAGAATACTGGGACAAAGATGGGAATTGTGGTCAACCATGTGGGATTTAACTCCTTTAACCACTAGGCTACAAGGTCAGCCCAAGAGGAAATATTTTTGAAAACATTTAGTCTTTTATATTTTGCAAAACCATTGTATTGATCATTAAGGGCAAAATTAGAATTGGATTTTTTTTGCCTTTATAATACAGTTTGTAGAGTTTGGAGCAGAGATGACTCTAGAATTTCTAGAGAAGCAGAGCCTATTGGCAACAATCTTGTGGACATGTCTAGAGGATATGTTAGAACATTTGGAGGGGAAGATAAGATTATTGGGTGGAGATTTGATAGACAGTATGGGGAAAGAACGAATCACCTACATCTCTTATCTAACCCATCCCACTCTACTCATAAGTCATATTTTTGCATAACCATGGGGAAAGGCAATCATGATCTTTCTGGTAACTAGAGTTTCTGATTATCTTAATTCAATCTTAATTCTAGAGAGTAATGACAATATTCAAAGAAATCTTGGCTATCCTAGAATCAGGAGTGGTAAATATTGCAATATGCTGTTTTATCTCTCTCAACACAGGCAAAGATAACATCGTAATGACCCAGTGCATCTTCCCACCTTTAAGAGGAGGACAGAAGGGACATATATCATATTTTCCTCTCTCTGCCCAAGTTTCTAGCAACTAGCTCACTGCTTCTAGCCTAGAGGCAGGCTCAGATTTCTGTTCTCAGTTCGGAGGGGTGGTGATTTCTCACTTTCCCTCTCTCTCTCTCTCTCTGAAACACTTGCTCTAGAAACTGCACAAGCCCTACAGAAAAATAAAACTAAAAATCATAAATAAATGGGACCAAAAGATATTGAATGTTGAAGCGGGGAGATTAATGTCTCTGTATTGACTGACATGCATGGCATTCCCTTTTGAAAAAGCAATGTAATACACTGTAAAGTTATATATAATCCAATGTAATATAAAGAAGATTATGATGATAATAAAAAATTTAAAAAAAGAAATAAAAAAAGAAAGTTTTGGAAATGAGGTTGTTGGTAGTAATAACTTTGTGAATATAATTGAAACCACTAAATTGTTTACATAAAAATAACTAAAATGGCAAATTTATGTTATATTTATTTTATCAAAATAAAATAAAATTTTAAAAAGAGAAAAATAAATAAATAAATAAATGGGACCATACTGGAAAAAAAAGAAAAATTAGTGAATTATGTAATCAGTATGAAAATAGTAATTTTCTGGCATAAAATTTTAGTCAATTTTGTATATAGATAATTTATAGAAAGTATCACACCCTTTTAGAAAATTAGCCACACTGGGAATAATAATAGTACTCAAAGAATGTGTGGACAGGGTTGGAGGGAAGGGTTCATTCTAGGAACATGTTGATGAGGCCTCGGACCTTTGAAATAACAAGGAAACTAGCGAACCATGGAAGAAGAGGTCAAGACCAAACTTGGTCTTAGGAGCAGTTTGGTATACTCTAGATGCATATAGATTCTGAAACTGTGAAAACAGGAATAACTGTCTAATGTCAAGATAGCATACCAGATAACAACAATAAAGATAACATATAAGCAGCAAAGAAGCTACTGACAACTTCTTGTAACTTAAAAAAAGAAAATAAAATAGTCTCCAATTCTAAATACTTTAAAAAGGGAAAGATAATTACTCTGTAGAGCACTTGTGAAGTCTTAGCATTAAGGTGTCTCTTCAGATTTGAGTGCTAAATTTTAAATGCCTGAATTTGTCATTATTACATTGAATTTCAAGGTAAAAAAATCAAAGTGATAAAAGTAATAAACTTTTGCCCAAATCTATTCTAAGTTCCCTGTGAAAAGCAATGAGTATATTAAAATGCACAATTTAAAATAACATGAAATATCCAAGCATTTCATTTCATTTCAACTTCACTGTATTTGTTAGCTAGTTTGATAAAAACATATTCAAATAATGTTGTTTTGATTACCAGTGGATAGGCATTTCTAAATGTCATGGTATTTGAAAGAAAAAAAAATGACACCTTGCAATCATAATACACCATTGTGTGGTATAAATTGCAAATCTGTAATTTCTGTTTGTTACTCTACATTAGATGGGGCAACGTGCCAAGTTTTGACACGAAGAAATAAATGTAAATGTTCTATGAAATTACCTCTATTTATTTTTCACTCCTTCGAGGTTTACATTGTTTGGTTTGGATATTTTTGTTTTTACTTTTATACTTTAGCTTTTGAGAAAAATATTCTCTTACTCATTGCTTTAATATTTTATTTTAAGTAGAACCAGTTTCAGGAATATGATTTTTCATAAGGAAAAAAAGACAACTTGCAAGAAAAAAGTACTTCGAGGTGATTTAAACATAATTTTTCATGCAGCTTCCCAAAGGACCTGCTCATTATATGTTACTATTTTAGGATCGCAGGAGTCAGTTTATATGAAGACTTAGGATCTTAAGTTCCATCTTATTAATAAATTATACCTTTAAAATAATAGCCTAAGGGGATGGTTACTCTATGTTTTCTCTCAAGCTTTGAACTCATATTTCTCTCAGTACTATATATTTCAAAAGAGTTGAGGTAAAGAACTTACCTTTACTTTTTAGTTCAATATCTGATCAGAGAGTTTATTCATAATCATTCCAGTATGTTTTTTACCCCATTTCTCAAATAAGAAACCAGAAGAATAAATTCTGATAAATAATTCTTCATTTATAGATATATGTTTTGAGTTTGTGTGTGTGTGTGTGTGTGTGTGTGTGTGTGTTGGTTTGGTTTTTGTTTTTATGGTTTTTGCCGTAAGGCAGATGCGCTCACCACAGAGACTGAGAAAGGGAAAGTAAGAGATCACCTCCCCAGGAAAATGGACACAGTGGCAATCTTTTCTCATTCATTCTCCTCTTAGGATTTTAGGCACACACACACACACACACACACACACACACGTGCACAAACATATGTTAACATATGATCTTTGCATATGACAACTGCAGATCATATATTTTATGCATGCAAATATTTTATTTTTACAAACAAAATAATTCTTAAAAATATTAGGAGGGGCCAGCAGATGGTGTGGTGAATAGGGGCGCAGGACACCCACATGGCCAACCATGGTTCGAGTTCTGAACCTGGTGGTTTGCTTTCTCACCTTACCTTTTCTCTTTCTCTCTCTCTGGTCAAATTTTAAAATAAGTAAATAAATAAACAAGGTTAAATAAAATAATTCTAAATAAAATGCATTTATAATTTGCCTGAATATTTTAAGTGTTTTACATTTTCTGTAGAGTAGCATTCTTTTTATTGTAAAACTTATATCTTGGTGACTTCTCAAGTCACATGTATACTAAGAAAGCATCATTAAGTCAAAGAAAGAATTTTTGAGAATGACCTCATCTACATTTTTTCAGTGTTATATATTTTGGCATATTTCGGTCTTTGTTGAATTTTGGGAGAGGGAAAGGCCTCAGTCCCTGTAATGTACGGCTCTCAGGAGTTTTGCAATTCATTCCTAGTTTTTCTACTAAGTAATAATTAATATTTTCCCTCTCTGAGCCACTGTTTTTCCATTTGTAAAATATGATAATTAGACTGAATCATTAAATGGAAAAGGTTCTTTATTCCTTCTCTTCTTGTTCTTTTAATGAGTGTCAATCTAAAAAAATCTTTACATTATATATTTGCACTTCTTATTAGAATGGCTCTCTTTTGTTTTCTAGGAAAAATTTAAATTATTGCACAAGTTTCTCAGTTTATCAAAGAGAAAAATTATGATTAAAAATCATCGCCTCTTTAATCAATAAATGTCTTAAAACCAGAGAAGTTAAACATACAAAGCTTTATATTTTTTATCATAAAATTAAACCAAGGATTACTAAGCTAAGCATGCTTTTGAGAGTTGGAAATGTTGACTAGAATTGATCAATTATCAAGAAATCTCTAATTCAATGTGTCTGTATTACCCAACTTTACAGAGTAAAATTCTATTCTTCTATAGCTACTCTGGAGCTTTTATCAGTATTAAAATGTATATTTCTTAGTAATCAATATTTTTTTAAATGTGTTGAGTTTGTTATGAAGATTTATCCCAATACAAAATTGAAATTTGTTCACGTTTATGATCCTTGAATTAATGCTCTCATTTGTTTCTTATTCAAAAGGCTTTAGGGACTAGGGCTTGGTCATAGTAAACTTAATGTACATTTATGGGTACTTTTCACTAATTATAGTTTTGATTATGAACCCATTAACATATATATATTTAATATACAAATATGAATATGAGAATGCCTTAATCTGAATCAAATACCCAGGTTATAAGTTAGCATTCAGAGAACCTGTTATTCACTATTCATATCTCTCCATCATGAAATAAGTGGATTGCTAATACAAATTGAACATTCCATAGAAGTCCTCATTTCTCTCTGTCAGACTCTGAAACTGCATTGGGATTTTTTAAAATTGTTTTCTCTCTTGTTGGTTTAAGCACTTGTTTAAAGGAAACATTGAAAGTCTAAGAATTTTCTAGACTCCTCTGAGAGCCTAGAATGCCAGTGCAAGTGAGGATGATGAAAGAAAAATGCCAAAAGTTTGGAGCGAACATAAACAAAGAATTGTTTCTTTGATTTTTTTCTGTGAAGTCGAAAGAGAAATTGGGCTGGCTGTTGGAAATAGCATGATGTAATTTGTGCTCAGTTAATATTATTTCTGGATATTTAGTTGTTGTGAACACTGCTTGGGCTGCCTTTTCTGATCTGGTGCTTAATATTATAAAAGTAAACAATTACCAAAACAATCTCCGCTTCCAAGGGTTCAGGTGCCTTTGATATTGTCACTGGGGATGGGGTTGCAATCTGGGCCTTCTTTTTTGCCTTCTGTGTCTGAAGGTTGGTGAAGTAGTTGACAGCTGCAAACTCAATAAGAGCAGAGAAGACGAAAGCAAAGCACACTGCTATGAACCAATCCATGGCAGTTGCATATGACACTTTTGGCAAGGAATGCCGGGCACTGATGCTTAGAGTGGTCATGGTTAAAACAGTAGTGATCCCTGAAATGAGAAAGAATGGGAAATGTGGGATTAGTGATGGGATTCCCATAACAAGAGCATAAGGCAGAATGCAGGTGGAGAGGATTTTTGTTATTTTACCATATCATAATTGATTACACTTATTATCATAGGTATTATCATTTTGTATCCTTCAGTTTTTAGTGCAATGATATACATTATAGTTGCTCAAAAAATAATTTATTAAATTGAGTTAGTTTAACTTTTGTAAAAGTTATGTCCTGAATAGTTCTAGGTACTTGCTGTTTGAGAAAACTTACAACAAATTATTATCACGTAAGTCAAAGAAAATCTTTAATTTCTGTTGAATCTTAGTAACTGAGAACATCTTTCATTATAGTTGAGAAGTTTATCTGGTATAAACAAACATAAAATTAGGTTACTAGATTTTATTTTAATTCTACCCTGGTTGTAGGGTAAAATATTGCTAATAAAAAAGTACCATAATTTCACTGATAGTAATTTTCCTTTTTAAACTATGGGCATGAGAAAGTAAAACGATTAGGAAATGTGTGACATTGAAGGTCAACATTATGTAGATATTATTTCACTTTTTGTAAAATTACAGTATAGCAAATTTTAAAATCAAGATTCACTTAAGATTTTTGTTCAGTGAGTCTTCTTTATAGATGATTAACTTTAAAATCATGAAAACTCTGAAAAAGTACATTTGGGGCCTGATAATGTTTTGAGTTATATCTCTTTTTCTCAGTATTCCACTGTATTCCATTCAATGATTCTGTACATCACAAATTAAACTAAAAATTTAGATTGAATCATAGGAAACTGGTGTTATTTACTTACAGATCTGAAAAATTGACATTTTATATGATTTGATCAACTACAAACAGTATTTGATTTATATATTAATGGGTTCAATATTATAGCTTTTTTTTTATTTTATTTTTTTTAGTTTTTATTGTGCTACTTTTAAAAATAAGAACACAAATCAAGGTTTTGTTTTGTTTTGTTTTGTTTTGTTTGTTTGTTTTTGGAGAGATTTTCACTGTAGGGCGCGTGCGCTCGTCAGACAGACAGAGAGAGACATAGAGACAGAAAGCGAGAAATCACCCCCCAGGGGGGATGGTCACGCCGCAATCCCCTCTCCTTCATTCTCCTCTCGGGATCTTGGGCACGCACGCACACGCGCCCGGCGTGAGTTTTAAGCCACCAGGTCCGGGACACGAACCGCGGTCGACTACGTGGGAGTCCAGCGACATAGCCATTACGCTAACTGCTGGTTCCCACAAATCAAGGTTTTAAAAAACGCTAAATAGAGCATGTAAAATCATA